GCACCTACCTCCCCAACACTCCACCCTCTATTCGCTGCGCTCTCACCGCCCCCCAACGTGGTCGCGCAGCGTGAAGCACTGCGTAGGGCGGGGCTTCGAGCCCAGCGCGAGTCCTGATTGGCTGTCAGGGCTGTCCGCCACGCTGGGCCCTTGAGCTAGGCCTTCAGGGTCTTCAGGCTCCTCGCTTCGACGATTTGGCTTTGGCGGGAGTTGGCTGTGATTGTGAGGTGAGACTGCTGGTGCCGCGGGAGTCGGGTCAGGTCAGAAGTGGGGCACAGTTGACCAGCGACCTTCCCTCTGGGAGAGCCGGGTTTAGTCGGTCCTCAGGAGCCAGGCAGTAGTTGGCTTAGGGCAGGCCTTGTGGGGCCTGGTGCGCGTCTGAGCCCTTCTGGGGGGTCCCATAATATGGGAGTTAGCGTTGAAAAGTCGTTCTTTGCATTCCTGTTATTCTCGCTTCCCTCTGGACCCAGAGAGGGGAGCGTCCCTGATGGAGCGTCCAGGAGGGATCAAGGTTGGGCCCAACCAGCATGCACTTCATCTTTGAGTGTCTCTGTCAGCGAACGAACACCGCCTCGATCTGTGAGGACCTCTCGCGGCAGAGGCGTAAAAAAAATAAGTCCTCGCTGCAGTTTTTGGGTTGAAGAACAGTGAGATAGCAATTTGGGTGTTGTCCTTTCATCACAGGCTTCGAACTCAGATAGATGCATGGGGGTCAGGTGTCAGGTCTAAGTGATGTGGCAGCGGATGAGGGCGTGCACTAGTGGGCAGAAGGGACCGTAGCCTTGCAGGATGTGGCCTGAGATGCCAAGGCTCCAAGATACCAGCACCCTGAAATGCCAGGGCCGCATGCCTCGCAGCAGCTGCAGCAGTCTCAGCAGCTGCCGGAGAGCTTGCCTTTGCAGATAGCGAGCTGCGTGTTTTAAACGTTAGAACTTCTTACAGGCTTTTAGGATGCTGTATGCGCCAGAACGGGGAATGTCCATGGGAACGGAATCTGGCTCTCAGGCTGTTTGCAGCTCAGAAGGTGGTGGGAACATCCAGATACAAACCTCCGTTTTGCGGGTCTAGAGGATAAAGTGTTGGTGAGTTGAGTAGCTGACTTAGTCGTTGGATCAGGGTAATCGCCAGACCTGAGTTTGCCCCCAACCAGCCACCTTGAGCATAGAAAAGAACTATGGCCTTAGATTTGAAGGAAAAGGTGGTGTGAGGTTGAGGAGTAGCCACCTTCCTTCCAAAGCAGTCCCTAGATTGCAATTTCACTTGGGGAATATCCTGTGTCACCTGCCAGTGACCTTTGAGAACTTTTTTCAAGGAGGAAGTGCAAGTGGGATGAACATTCCAGAACTTGTGTATTTCAGGTGCCATGATTCTGTTAATGGCTGGTTTAATGTCTTAGAGAAGGTGCAGCCAGTCTTCCTTGGAGGCTTCGTCTCACATACTTTGAGTATCTTGCTAGAAGAAGACATCATGCTTGGAAAGGTGGAAGGTTGGTGAAAAGAAGACCTTCAGCGAGACAGATTGATACAGTGAATGTAGGGATGGGCTGAAATACAGCTGTGATTGTGAGGATGGCACAGGATAGGACAGGGTTCAGATCTGTTGTTGAGAGGGTCGCTCTGGGTCATACTCAGTTTGATGGCATGAACAACAGACACTATTAGTGCATGCAACGTGAGGAGCATAAATGTAGGTAAATTGAATATTGTTAAGAGAGAAAGGGAATAGGTAAATATTGACATACTGGTCAAATGAGATAGATTGGCATGGGACTTTTTTAATCAGACAATCATAGAGTCTGATGTGGTGGAAATAAAAAGGTGAGGAAAAATGGAGTTGCATTCATAGTTAAAAAGACCATTTCTAGATTTATCTTGAAATACAGTATTGCAAGTGGCAGGATAATATTCATATGCATACAAGGAAGTCCTGTCAATACCACCATCATTCAAATACATGCACCAATAACCAGAGCCAAGGTGGAGGAAATAGATGATTTCTACCAACTTTTGCAGTTAGAAACCCATCAAACAACATGGAGCCAGGATACACGAATAATAATAATGAGTGACTGGAATGCAAAAGTTGGGAATGGAAAAGAAGAATCAGTAGCCAGAAAACACAGGCTTGTTGACAGAAATGAGGCTGGAGATAAAAATGATAGCATTTTGTACAGTCAGTGATTTTGTTTTCATTGTAAATACCTTTACATAAGAAACATGGAGTATATACGTGGACCTCACTTGATGGTCTTCACAGGAATCAGATTGACTACATCTATGGAAAGAATCATTGGAGAAGCTCAATATCAGCTGTGAAAGCTAGGCCAAGTGATGACTATGGGACAGATCATCAACCATTCATATGGAAATTCAAACTGAAGCTAAAGAAAATTAAGTCCCAAAGAACCAAAATTTGACCTTGAGTCTATCACACTTAAATTCAGAAACCATTTCAGGAAAAGCTTAGAGGCATTGAACACTAATGAGTGAAGGCCAGATGAGCTGTAGGAGGATCTCAAGAATATTATCCATTGAGAATGTAAAAGGTCATTACAAAGACAGAGGAGGAAGAAAAGACCGAGATGGATGTCAGAAAAGACACTGAATATTGCACTACAGGGCCGAGAAGCCAAAGCAAAGGGAAGACATCGAGAAGTTAAGGAATTGAACAGATTTCAGAGGGCAGCACAGGAAGACAAAGAATTAAGATGAGATATGCAAAGAGTTAGAATCAGAAAATCAAAAGGGTCTAACTTGCTCAGCATCTCTTAAGTGAAGGAACAAAACAAATTTAAGACTCAAGTTGCACTACTTGAGGGTACTGTGGGCAGAATAATGAACGATCCAGAAAGCATCAGAAGAATATGGAAGGAGTACACAGAGTCACCTCTCAAAAAAAGAACTGCCTGACACAAAAGTATTTCATGTAACACCTTATGTTCAAGAGACAGTGGTGATGGAGGGGGAAGTTCAAGCTGCTCTGAAGGAATTGGCAAAAAACAAGATCCCAGGAATTGATGGATTACCATCTTGGGAGCACCTTCTACTTTCCTCATCATCTCTTGGAACAAGCAGATGCTTGTTGGAAGTGCTCACCAGACTGTTTCAAGAAATCTGGAGGACAGCTACCTGGCCAACTATCTGGAAGAGATTCAAATTTATTCCTTTCTCAAAACAAAGGTGATCCAACAGAATAGGGAAATTATCAAATGATATCACTAATACCACACACAAGCAAAATCCTGAGATTTTCCAAAAGCAATTGAAACAGTTCATCTACAGAGAACTACCAGAAATATAAGCTGGGTGTAGAAGAGGTATGAAAACAGAGACATCATTGCCCATGTCAGATGGATCTTGGCTGAAAGAGAGCACTAGAGAATGTCTGTGTTTCACTGACTATGCAGAGGCATTTGACTGGGGGGGAATCACACAACAAATTGTGGCTAACCTTGAGAAGAATGGAATCCTAGAACACCTAATTGTGCTCCTGCTAAACCTATACTTGGACCAGGAGGCAATCATCATAACAGAGCAAGGAACTTGGTTTAAAATCAGAAAAGGAGTGTGTCTGGTATGTGTCCTTTCTCCATATCTTTTCAGTCTCTGTGTAGAACAAATCATTCGAGAGGCTGGACTTTGTGAGGAAGACTCATCAGGATTTTAGGAAGACTCATCAACAACCTATGTTATGCAGATGATACAACTTTAACTTGCCAAAACTAAAGAGGGCTTGAAACATATGCTGTAGAGGATCAGGGACTGTAGGTTTAAATATGAATTGAAGCTCAACACCAAGAAAACAAAGAGTCTCACCACTAGGCCAATTGACAGCACCATAATAGATGGGGAAGAGTTGGAGGTTGTTAACAATTTCAGCTTGCTAGATTCCACAATAAATATTATTGGCATCAGTAGTCAAGAAATCAAGATATGAATTGTATTTGAGAAATCTGTTGTCAGGGACCTCTCCAGAGTGCTGTAGTGCAAGGATGTCAGTTAAGAAACTAAGGTGCACCTGATCCAGACCATGGTCTTAGCAGTAACTTGCTGTGTGTGCATCAGAGAACTGGACAGTGACCAAAGATGAGAGAAAAAGAATCAATGACTTTGAATTATTCTTGAGAAGAGTTTTGAACAAACCATGGACTGCCAAGAGAACGAACAGGTTTGTCCCAGAGAAGGTAAAACCAGGCTGCTCCTTGGAGGCAAAGATTTTGAGACTCTGTCTCATATATTTTGATATGTAACCAGGAAGGGCCAGTCTTTGGAGAAGGATACTATGGTTCAAGATTGTACTAATTGAGAGCTAAACTGGTGGTGAGATGCAGAGGAATTCTGGGATATGGAAGTTACAGTCACTGAATCTTATCTGAGTTCTTTGGCTGTACAGGACAGACTGCTGGTGTCTAAAGAGTTGAGGTAGTGGTAGCTTTTGCCCTTAGGACACTAAGATGATATGGGGAGGTGAAATACCTTCCCATAATTCGTTATCCTACAAGCTTGGGTTGAAGGACTCAGGGAGAGAAGGGAAAACCTAGAATATGATCAGAGCCATTATGGACTGAGCAGTGGGCAGAATGTGGTGAGATGATGAGGAAAGTAGAAGGTGCTCCCAGGTGGCATGTGTGTCTTAGGGTGAGGATAATGCAAATAATTCATTAGACTGACCTGCAAGACATTTTTTTATTAAAATAAAAATGTTGTGTTTTAATTGTCATCTTAACAAAAGTTCCTGTAAGACCTTTTAATGATAGCTGGCTCCCTGAGTGGGACCAATGTGGGGATGGAAAGAAGCTTTGATTTGAGCCCCTTTCTCAGCTTCCAGCGCAGTTCTCCTTATTTATCACAGCCAGCTTGTCAGGAATAAAGGGCTTGGGGATCACCCTAGAAACCCCTAGGCACTGACCAAGACTCCAGGCACTTCCCTCCATTCTCTCCCCAGGTTAGGTGCTGTGGGGAGAGACCAAGACAGCTGAGCCCTAGATCTCCTGGGTCCTCATGGACACCATGCTGAGAGCTAGGCTGGAGACCCAGCAGAATGAGAAGAGTGGACACTATGGCCAGGAGGTAGTGTAGTACCACCCCTTTCCCAGAACATCTGTCCCCTGTTACCCACCCCTCTCACTGGATTTGGGCCATCCATTGCTGGATTCTTTCCCTTTTAGTCAAGAACTTTTGAGTCCTCTAACCTTTTCCTGTGACCTTTTCCCAGACCAACCTGTGGTACTCAGGCTTTGGGATGAAGCTGGAGGCTGTCACCCCATTCCTGGGGAAGTATCGCCCATTTGTGGGCCGCTGCTGCCAGACCTGTACGCCCAAGAGCTGGGTGAGTAATGGCAGGGCCAGGCCTTACCTTGAGAAGCTTGGACTAGCTTGACTCCAGGAACTATAGTTCTCCAAAGTCAGTTCTTTATATCCTTCTGAGCTCTGGTGTTTTCTGCTCCATACTTCTGCTTTTGTCTTTTAGATAATTCGTGTGGGAGAACTCACTGGTGTTAGACTGTGGGCGTGGTATTGACAATAATAATAGTTATTATTAATAATAATGATTGCACTGGCATTGCAGTGTGATAGAATTGGTTAGGGAAATACAGAGGGGTCAGAGAGTTGAAGTCTGATTGATCATAGACTTCTCGGGGAACCCTGTCCATTTGAAGGCCTCTTGTGTAGCCATGCTGTGCACTAATGCTGTGAGACTTGAGAATTATAAAAGAGCTCCCACAAACATTTATGCACACATGATGCAGGTAGATCTGTTTCTCTCTTCTTCCGATATTACTAGTTCCATAGGAAGTTAATAAATGTTACCCCTAAAAGGGGTTCATCAGAATAAGTTTGGGGAATTCTAGGTAAAGTAAATATCTCTTTTCTTCAGCACTTCTCAAAGACTTTAATATGTTTGTTACTAAGAAGGTGTTTCTAAAAAAAAAAGGTGTTTCTGTGCAGAAAGCAGAACTTCCCAGTTTGACCAGGGAATCCTTCTACTGAGCCAGTTTCAGATCTAGGGTTCAACAGTTTTTGAAAAGTGAAGAACATAGGTTCAACAGCTTTTGAAGAGTGCAGTAACATGGACCTGTCCCTTGGTAAAGTTGGTCAGCTGTCAGGCAGAGAGACTGAGGAGGGTGGGTAAAAAAGGGGTGTCTTTTGTCGAGTGCAAAGGCCCCAGTACATGTGCTCTCTGTCTCTTTCGGACAGGAGTCCCTTTTCCACAGAAGCATCATGGATCTCGGCTTCTGCAATGTGATTTTGGTGAAGGAAGAGAACACCAGGTATCCAGAGATGGGGTGGTGGGCAGAGTCCCTTGGACTAAGAGCTGCTGGGCCCCTGTTATTTGTGCCAGTTTCTTCTTTTGATGAAAAAAGAAGGGATCATGTTGTTCTCTGCTGTCCACAGGCCAGGGGCGCCAGGCTTCATGCTTTCCCAGGGTTTCTTCCATGAACAGTTGTTGATCACCCTCACTGTTGGGTCCTTAATCTATACCCTACCCAGTTTGGAGAAGTGAGGGGAATGGGTCACAGTCAGGTGGTTCTTCCTGCTCTGTGATAAGCTAAATTCAGGTGATCTGAGACCTGGGTTCTGAGTTGTTAGGGTGGGATCTTTTCCTGCTTGGATAGCCCATAGGGAGCCCTGTGGGTTGGGAAATACTCAGACTTTCCTCACTGGTTCTGGGGGTTGTATCCAGGTATCGGGGCTGGCTGGTTCGGAGGCTTTGCTATTTCCTGTGGTCACTGGAGCAGCATATACCCCCCTGTCAGAATGTCTCACAGCAGATCATGGAAAACCCTGGGTAAGGGGACAGGGACTGGGCTCTGGCTGATATCTCTGGAATCCTCTGAGAGATGACAAAGGCTCTGGGCTAAAGAAGAGAGGCTTCCAGTAATAGCTTTGATTTGGATCCCTTCTTAAAAGATTATGAAGACAATGGAGAGTGCATATGAGAGGCTCTGAGGAAGTGGTGGGACAGAGTGAAATAACTTGGGGTGCTTCAACCAGTAGCCAGAGCCTGGGCCCTGGCCTGCCTCTTTCTGACACCACTGACCCCATGCTGCAGGGTGCAGAGCATCATTTCAGGGAGGGCCCCTGGAGGGGCCGGGGAGAGTCAGGTGCCAGGCCTTGTGAAGAAAGAGGTACAGCGTATCCTGGACTATATCCAGGCCCCGCCACGCCCCTTGCTTCTAAGGTAACTTATGTTGAGTGCTGTTATTCCTTATGTGTGGTCCCTGCTCTTCTGTAGAGGGAGAACTGGACTCCACTCCTATGAGAGAGCTGAAGGATGTGTTTGCCAGAATAGCCTATAGACTGATGTCACCCCTTCCTCCCCTTCCCATAAAGAGAAGGGTCCCCAGCACACACTAATCTAGCACATGTGCAAGAAGGGAGTAAAAGGGTGAGGCTGAGAATGACTGGAGGGGGAGAAAGAGACTTAGAAGCCAGGACTTGAAGAGGAGAGGGAGCCTGACATGGGGGAGCAAGGGGAAGGTCAAGACCATATTTGATAGAGACTAGCATTAGCCAAGGCACTGGAAAGGTAGGGAAAGGCTCAGATTGTTCAGAAATGGGAATAGAGCTCATGTGGTTGGAACTAGAAAAGGAAAGAGAGTTGTTTGAGATACATCTGAAAGGTAGAAGGGACTAAATCATGCAGCTCATAAAGAAGTTTGGGTTTGATTTTAGGGTACAGTGAAAACCATCTAAATGGTCTTCAGTAGAGAATGCCAGATTGGGATCAAGAGTAGACACCAGAAGGTCGTTTGGAGCTATTTTCGTAGTTTAGGGGAGGCATGATGATGGCTTGGATAGAGTGGTGACAGCAGAAGTTGAATAAAGTATCTTGAGAAATCAAAGTGAAATGACATGAACTTGCTGATGGGCTGGCTGCATGTTGGGGTAGGGAAGTGAAAGGAAAAAGGAATCATAAGAGAGCTGTTGGTGTCTGTAGAGAGGAGAGAGGCTTGGGATGAAGTAAGGGTCTCCTGGGATAGGAAAAGAGCGTTGAGACGTAAAGGCTTTCAGGTGCCTGACATGTTCATGGAGACACTGGGCATATAACTCGTAGGATGTTAGAATTCAGAAGACAACCTGGATCCAGGGATACCCACTTACCAAGGTTTGATGTGCATAGATAAGGTGATGTTTGTAACAGAGGGAATGGACAAAGTCACCAAGTGAAAGAAAGCTCAGGGCCACATGTGTCACTGTCAGCTAGCTGTGTTGAGGTTCCTGAGATGGATGGAGACAGGGCCATAGTAAAGACATCAGTGGGCAGGCCCCAGTTCTGTGTGAGCACCGCTTTCTCTGTAGAGTGCAGAGCAGGAGGCCTTGCTTTAGAGGATTGCTGATGAGTAGGTTGTGGGCTTCTAGATAGTGGCATCTGCCTCACCTCAGGCTGATGTTACTCCCCAGGCTGTTGAGCTGGGTGCTGCTACGGCTCCTCAACTGCTTCTTCTTGAATGTGCAGCTCCATAAGGGTCACATGAAGATGGTTCACAAGGCTGCCCAGGCGGTAAGGCTGGCCCTCCATGGGCCTGGGATGAGCCCTAAAGTCAGGACCAGCTCCATCAGCTGGTGGGAGAATCTTCTGCTCTTTGGTGACTTCCTCTTAGTGTCTTACAGTCCTACTCCTAAGGGGTTTCCCTTGATGTCTTTTTATCATAGTCTTAAGTATTCTATCAGTATATTACCTTGACAGTTACTGAAAAAGCTCTACTTTGGGGAACTGTGCTTAGAAGAAAGAAGTGTCCCACTAAGCCATCCTCCCTCTGGGGTCACTCTGGGTGTGGAGGCTGCTGTGGTGTCTGTTCCTGGCTTGGGGTGGGAGCCGACTAGCTCTCCCTCTGTCTCTTCCTGGAGCAGGGCTCACCGCTTGTCTTCCTCTCCACCCACAAGTCTCTTGTGGATGGAATCCTGCTGCCCTTTGTGTTGCTTGCCCAGGGCCTGGGTGTGCTTCGTGTGGCTTGGGACCCCCATGCCTGCTCCCCTGCTCTCAGGTAAAGCCTTGTGCCCTTGACATGTAGGGGAGAGGTCCCTAGGCTAGGACAGAGGGGATGTGGGAGTGTATGGGAGCCTTCTGTAGCAGCTCTCCAAAGGCCCTTTTCCTGGCCTCTTGATTCCTACCCTTTTCCAGCAGTCCATGGGGCTCAGATGGAGGGTTGGGTACAGGCCCTAAAGTCCTGCCTGGCCTTGGTATGTTCAGGTAGGGCCCACTCTGACCTTAATGGGCCAGGGTTGTCAGCCTGTCTCTGGAACCCCTTCCTTTATCAAGATTTACCCTGTTCTTTACAGAACTTTTTTGAGGAAACTTGGGGGATTCTTCCTGCCTCCAGAGGCTAACCTCTCCTTGGATTGCTCTGAGGGGATCCTTGCCAGGACTGTGGTTCATGCAGTGAGTACACCCTGCTGATTGTAAGGGGCAGGCTTAGGGTACAGGGTCTGCTTCTGATGTGGCCTTGATGCTCACCCTCTTTCTTACCCCCTACCAGACCATAGAGCAGCTGCTGGTCAGTGGGCAGCCTCTGCTCATCTTCCTGGAGGAACCCCCTAGGACTCAGGGCCCAAGGTTGTCCGCCCTAGGCCAGGCCTGGCTGGGAGTTGTGGTCCAGGCTGTCCAGGCGGGCATTGTTTCAGATGTTATGCTGGTGCCGGTGGCTGTCACCTATGATGTGGTTCCAGATGCACGGCCTGACGTATACCATGTGAGACACTCCCTGCCCCTGGGGACCCTCAAGTGGACTCTGGCTGTTGACAGAAGGCACAGTATTGTATCCTATGGTTGTGTCCCCATAGGGCTGGGGTGAAGGGAAGGTGTGTAAAGGAATCCACTCCCTACAGTCATTCTGTGTCCTTCGCTAAGCCCATTCTATTCATCATTTCATTTAATCATCAAAAAAATTCTGCAAGGGAATGTTTGCCTCTGCTTATTGAAGAGATTGGGAGCACATGTTAGATTGGTTACAAGATAAAGTTGAGTAGGCTGGCACTGAGCAGAGGGCCTATCACTAGAGGTCTGGGTGGGCTGGCAGTGCCAGTGCTGGGAGTCATGGCCCGTGCGTGCTGACACCTAGTTTGTCTTGCTCCAGCCTTTGCCACCGCTGGGCCTGTGGACGGGAGCTCTGGCTGTCCTGCAGGGCCTGTACCACTGTTGGCACAGCCGCCGTGGGTCCTGTGTCCGTGTGCACCTCGCCCAGCCCTTCTCCCTGCAGGTAAGGCCGAGCTAGGCAAGGCTGCCTTTGAGCTTTGTAGTCTGTTCTCAAGCTTCTGGGGCCTGGCCCTCACAGTCCCCATTGGCAAGCCACCTGAGAGCTATGTTCTGGGCAGGAATACACCATCAACGCCAGAAGCTGCTGGGGAAGCAGGCAGACCCTGGAGCAGCTGCTGAAGCCCATTGTTTTGGGTCAATGGTAGGAACAGGGATTGTGGGCACAGGCATGAGAAGACCTCAGGTGGTGGGTGAGCTGACAGTCTCTCCCCTGGGTGGGTGTTCACACCCACAAATCTGGACCAGGAGCCATTCCCCACCAGAGGTTGGGAGGGAGGATGCACGCTTAAGTTTGGTGGCAGGAGGCCTTGTTTTAAGTTTTAGCTTCTTGATCCTAAATTGTCATCTCTGTCTTGAACTTAGGACTATTGTCCCAGATACTGAAAAGGAACAAGAGTGGACCCCAGTAACTGGACCCCTCCTGGCCCTTAAGGAAGAGGATCAGCTGCTGGTCAGGAGGCTGAGCCGTCACGTTCTTAATGGTGAGGATGACCTGCGTTTGGCCTGTGTGGTGCTTCTGAACCGTTTTTATTCTCCCTACCCCTCCCTTAGGGAGCACTAGGTAAATGGCTGCCTGCACGGTGGCACAGGGCTGTCCAGTGCAGACCACTTGGGCATGCCTAGCCCCAGGGGCTGGCTCATCATGCTTCCCCCTTTGAGCCTGAGCTTCACTGCTTGAAATCGGCGATGTTAACTGCCTGGAATCTTGTATGTAAGAAATTTAACACAGTACCTGGCTGAGAGAGGGCTTCTAACAGGATTATGTCAGAACTAGAGCTTGAGGATGACAGGGCAGGCGCCTGAGTGTCTGGCCTAGCTTTCACCGTGTATTTGATAAATGCTGATTCTCTGCCAGGAACAATGGTATCCATGTGTCAAGCCCTCCTGGATCCTCCCTAGGCTGGAGTTGAGGATATGGCCTCTACCATAGAGGAAAGGGTTGCCAGATTTTGGGGAACCAGGAAGCTGGTCTCAGTCCCTGACCAGCATCCTTTCCTCAGCCAGCGTTGCAAATTCCGCAGTGATGAGCACAGCAATCATGGCGACACTACTGCTCTTCAAGCACCAGAAGGTAGGGCTGCATCTGATCAGGGCCAGGGCCAGGGCCAGGGCCACAGCCTCCTGCTCAGGCCTCTGCCCTGCCCTGCCCACCCAGGGCGTGTTCCTGTCGCAGCTCCTGGGGGAGTTCTCATGGCTGACAGAGGAGACACTGCTGCGTGGCTTTGACGTGGGCTTCTCTGGGCAGCTCAGGTGCCTTGTGCAGCACACGCTGAGCCTGCTGCAGGCACATGTGGCGCTGCTGCATGTCCACCAGGGGGACTTGCTGGTGGTGCCGCGACCTGGCCCAGGCCTCACATACCTCGCACACCTCAGTGCTGAGCTGATGCCTGCCTTCCTGAGTGAGGCTGTGGGTGGTGAGTCCTGAGGGCCAGGGTGGGTGAGGTGTATGTGCATGGGTAAGGGAGATAGCTTCCTTCTGCACACCCACCCTGCTGTTTGGCCTCTGCCCCAGCCTGTGCTGTGCGGGGGCTCCTTGCGGGTAGAGTGCCGCTGGAGGGGTGCTGGGAGCTACAGAGTGTGGAACTGCTGAGCCAGAGTGAACTGTACCGCCAGATCTTGCTGCTACTGCACCTGCTACCACAGGACCTGATGCTCCTGCAGGTCAGACCCTGCCCAGCAGCCTGGTGCAGCCCTGGGCCTGCCCATCTTGGTGGTGGGAGGGGCCAATTCTGACCACTCCCAACCCTGGGGTGACCTGGATAGTACTCAAGGGCCGACTGGGCATCTGCTTCTTGAGCCCATGTGGTGCCTCTTCTTCCCCAGCCCTGCCAGTCTTCCTACTGCTACTGTCAGGAGGTGCTGGACCGTCTCATCCAGTGTGGACTCTTGGTTGCTGAGGAGGTAGGTGGGGCAACTGGAGACAAAGCTCCACTATGGGGTCTGGGCTCTTGGAGCTCCCTCCCCTGAGTGACAGCTTCTCTCAGGCTTCTGCTCATGTGTGCTGTGGGGAAGGGCAGCCCCTACCTTAGCAGCCAGGAGCAGCCTAGGTCCCACTTCTGCAGCACTATTTGGGCAGACCACTTGTGCCCTTGAGTGACATGTGCCTCCCAGGCTTTCTCTATACTCTTGTCCCCTACATTTCTAGCCCACATAGCCGTGGCCGGGTACCCAGGTCCTTTCACCCTGCAGGCTATGGGCTGACGTGACCCTGGGCATTCTTTGGATTCCCTTGGTCAGCTTCTTTTGCATGTGCCTTGTCTGGGGTATAAACCTAAACCCTGACCAGCCTTACAGTGGCTACTGTGGCCCCCAGACATCAGGCTCCCGGCCAGCCTGTGATACAGGGCGACAGTATTTGTGTGCAAGGCTGCTGTGGAAGCCGAGCGGGGACTTTACTGACAGTGACAGCGATGACTTCGAGGAGGCTGAAGGCCGGTATTTCAGGGTAGGCTGGGAGTGGCCTCTGGGGAGGGGGCTGAAGGGCAGTGGCCTGGAGGCTGTTTGACCTTGGCCTTTTCCTCCAGCTCAGCCAGCAGTCACGCTGCCCTGATTTCTTCCTCTTTCTCTGCCGCCTGCTCAGCCCGCTGCTCAAGGCCTTTGCACAAGCTGCCTCCTTCCTCTGCCAGGGGCAACTGCCCGACACAGGTGAGGCCCCAGTCTGGAGTCTTGAGACCCATGTTAGCCCTGTCTCAGGCCATGCCAGCCATCCCCTTGACTGACTGTCCTTGGAGCTGAGTGTGTGGCAAAGGGCTCTGTGGACACAGAGTCCAGGTCCAGGTCTGTTCTCTGCCTGCAGAGTTGGGCTACTCCGAGCAGCTGTTGCAGTTCTTAGAGGCCACTGCCCAGGAAGAAGGGTTCTTTGGTGAGTACAAAGTAGCCAGCCTGGCCACCTGCAAAACCAAGGCTGGGTTTGCATGTGGCTGCTGCCCCCTGCTGGGCACTGGTAACCCAACTGTGGGCAGGGAGGGCAGAGGTAGATAGATGAGCACTGTCCCTAAAAGGAATAAGCCTGTGCCCAGTGGTTATGTGCTCTCCACCCCTACCTTCATTTCTCTTCCCTCCAGAATGCGTAGACCCAAAACTTGCTGCTCATGCTATCTGGACCTTCAGAGACTTGGGGGTAAGAAGGACCAATCTTCACCACCCGCCTGCCCTTCTCCCTCTCTCAACCCCCCACTCCTGACTGAGCTGTTCCCAGAAGCCCAGCTTTGCCACACTAGTTGTGTCCCCTTGGGACTTACCCTATCCATGATGCCTTGCTAAAGTCCTGGGACTGCCTCAGGGTCTCTTAGGAATTAGCTGTGGTGACAATAGATTGGAGAAGATAGGATGGTTTTCCTGCCCTTGATTTCTCAAACCACTGGCTCGTGCTACTACTTACAGGTGATGTTTGGGGGTGCTTTGAGAGAGATGAGGCAGTACACTGAGACTTAAGGAGCTATTGCAGTTCCCTGGGGTACATCTCCCCTGGTGTACCCGCTCACTGCGCTTTCCATGCCCCAGGTGCTACAGCAGATGCCAAGCCCTGCAGGCCCTATGCTCCACCTGTCCCCAACATTTGCCAGCCGAGACAATCAGAAGAAGCTAGAACTGTTCATCAGGCAGTTTATCTGTGGCTAGAACTGGGGCGAAGCTGGTGTTGACCCCAGCTTCTCAGACCCCAGCATGGCTGTGCCCTGGGCAAGAAGAGAGAAGCCTGGCAGACACTGTGGACTAGAAAAACTTTGAAGTCTGACATCCCATTACCATTTCTTATTTTTTCCATCCTTTGGTGTGATAAACAGGTGAACTGGAGGATTCCTTTTCCCTAAGCTTAGCAGCATGAGGGTCTGTATATAGAATATGTACTTTCTTCCCCCATTCTATAAGAACACCCTGTCTCAGTCCTTGAAATAAATGCTAAAAGACTGGAGCAGAAAGAAGCCAAGCTGCTGCTGTGGCTTGAGAACTTTATTGACTGAAGTGCCATCAGGGGCTGACAGAGCCCTTGTCTGCCACACAGCCTTCCTGTGCTGAGCTCAGTGGGAATGATGTCTCCAGCTCTTTTTGGGCCAAAGGTCTGTGGCAGGAGCCCTCATACCACCTTGTTGATGATGATGCCTAGTTCTTCGATCTCACACTGGACTTCGTCTCCCTTCTGTAATGGAGCCAGTCACAGGCTAGAATTTTCTGAGGCAAGCTTCCAGGTTTCTTGCTCCTAACCCTTTTACAAGCTTACCTTGAGAAAGACTGGAGGTTTCCTGAATACACCAACACCTGGGGGGGTCCCAGTCAGGAAGACATCCCCTGGGTAAAGAGTGGTGAACCTGGGACAAAGCAGATGGACCACTTGAGGCCATGGGCTCAGGTCAGGCCTGGGCTTGGGTCAGGCTGGGAGGTGGTACAGGGGTCACCAACATGAGCCCCATCTTACTCACTGGGAGACCCAGGCAATCAGCTCTTCAGTCTTAAATACCATCTGGCTGGTGCTGCTGCTCTGCATCACTTCGCCATTGACTCGACAACTGATCTTCAAGTTGTGTGGGTCTGAAAGATAAAAACACCCAGGGAGATCTCTTGCCTTAAAGCCCTTCTAGTTAGAACAGGAAAGCATTGAAGCTTCAGGACTTGTCAGGTGAAAGGGTCTGTGCACAAGGATCTTTCTGTTTCGAGACCTGGAGTTCCCTGGCCAGTCATATCCTATGCACACATCAGTCTCATTAATGTAGAGGCCCACCATTTGCCTTTCCTTTATCCCCACCACCCTGCAGAGTGCCTGGCACTAGTCACTGCTTCATAACCACAAGATGTGGGGCTAGTTGAGTGGAAATCCGATGAAAGGAGCAAAGGGCTTAATACCTGCAGGAATAAAGCCTCACATGCCTGATAATTGTAGGACACTACTCATGAGCATGTCTGAGCTAATCAAAACTTGCCACTCTTCTGAGATCCCGGATTTGTCCACAGCCCCCCCAAAATAAGTAGCAGAAACAGGTTAACCTTATGATTAGCTTTGCCCTTGGCTGGTCGCACTGTGTGGACTAGACCTGCCTGCATCTGAATGGTACGTGTGGGTTCAGGTTCAGAGGCTACTTTTGCCCACTGCCCTCCTCGGCTCCGTGCTCTTGCTTTTAGCTCAGTGCTGCCGTGCTCTGCTTGGACACTGCATAGGTGAGGGCTTGTTGGTGCTCTTGTCTCCCTTGAGGAAATGAACTGATTTTTGTGTCAGCCATTCTCTATAATGCTCCATCAACTAACTTTACTTTCTCTCAGCTCAAAGGCTGCTCTATTCTAGGTAGTGGCAGCCAGAGGAAACCTGACCCACCCATTGGTGACACACTGCTATCCTTCCTGTCTTGAATGCCAGCTGGTACTGAAGGGTAGCTTCACAACCTTTGTGGCCGGGTTCTGTAGGGTGAGGGGACATGGGAAGAAGACTGTTCAGAACTCGTGACTGAGGCTGGGAGACTTGCTTGAAGCAGGACTCTATGCTGATGGTAACCAAATTCCTGCCTTCTGAAATAGAGGCAGAAGCTAGAAACAGAGGCAGAAGCTAGATATATAGACAGAGGAAGAATCACCATGTGGGCAGGGTAAAACCTTACCTGGTACGCTGTCCCTGGTCACCAAGGCAGGACCCAGTGGGCAGAAAGTGTCAAAGGTTTTTCCCAGCAGCCACTGCTTTCCATTGTATTTCATTTGCCAGTCTCGAGCACTCACATCTTGTGCCACAGTGAAGCCAGCCACGTGAGCCATGGCATCTGTGGCCTATTGGGAAAGGGGATTTGGCTGTAATGGAGGTTAGATGACAAGTGACACCAAATCCGATGATAAAGGAGTGTGAATGCTTTATCCCATGAGTCAGAACTAGCCAGATTTGGGGGTGGGGGGGCAAAACAGCATCAGGGTGCTGACCACTTCTCATCCTGTGACAGCTGGAACGTCTGCACTAGCCACAGACTTGTGGCCTTCCCTCTGCCCCTGCTGGGAGCTCAGCCCTGCCACCTCACCTTGATGTGCTTGCCTTTCTTCCCAATGATCACAGCCAGTTCCACTTCCCAGTCCACCTCCTGTCAAGCAGGAACAGGAGTGTGAGCTGCTGCAGGTGTGGCACCCTAATACTGGAGGTTACCTGTTAGGTCACATGTATAATCACCACCAACTGGAGTGGAGTAAATAACATGGGGAGCAGAACCTGGGTCCATAAAGCTTGGAAAGTAGCAGGCAGCACCCCTGGCATTGGTGCACCTCCATACAGTGACCACAGGAGTGCAGTGTGTGTCTGGGGGCTGGAGTTCCAAGTCTCAGTTCCTGCAACACAGTGTAGTCTCTTAAAAAGACCCACAGCCTGGTAAACCCTGGGGCGTACTTCTACTCTGTCAGATAGGGGTGCTGTAACTTGACAGGGCAGTGGTCTGGTCTGGTCTAGCAATCTGTGCCTCTACTATATTAAGTGTCTTAAAGTATTAATTCACTTAAATGATAAACCAGTTTGGAAAAGGACTTAATGCATCATCCATGACTGCTTTGACACTGCAGTGACAGCTGAGTTGGTATAACAGAGATCATATGGCCCTGTGGACCTGTGGTTTAGAATAAAGTGACTAAAGGGATACAGTGTGTGGCTTTGATCCTGGATGTAGAAATACAAAATGGTCATCTTTGGGGTAAAAGAATATTCCAACCCTGGAATTGAGACAGACTGTATATCAAAGAACTCCGCTGGTGCAACAATTAAATTAGGATCCACCAGGAACTTCAAGATGGACAGCCCCCGTGATCTGCTCCTGCAGATCCATCCGAGGCAGCCCTCCTGTCATGTGGGAAGTGGGAGTCAAGATCAAGGGCAGCCGACAGCAGCAGTGTTAGGTGCCATTTCTCAGGTTCATTTTCTTAGTCCTGATAATGGTGTTACGGTCAAGCAGGACACTGTCCTTATTTGTATGATAAACATGAAGTTTTTATCAGTGACTTATGACTAACCTATGTTGGTCTGCCCACCAAAAAATAAAGCATGTGACTTTATGAAATAAGCAAATGCAATAAAATACAAAATAAAAATCAAGGTAGAGTACATAAATGTTACTGTCCTCAACCATCTTTTCTGTAGGCCAATTAATTTATGAAGTATTCTAGGCAAAAATTTGAGGGGAAAAACTCACTGTTAGGAAAGGCATATACACTGGAGGTGGATGTATAAATTGCTTTCACAATTTAAGTTTGGCAGGATTTCTTACACAATTTTTTAATGCTGCCAATATTGTGATGCCATCATCCAAAATTATAAGAGTTTATTCAAAAGAAATAATCATGTATTCATTGATGTCCAAGTCTTTAGAAAAGTTAAAAAAAATGGAAAGGACTCAAGTATCAGGCATCAGGCACTACTAAGCAGACTATGGTCATGACCACAGTGGTCACTGCAGTAACCTAAACCTGGGAGGCACTTAGGGTTGGAGGAATGTTTTCATTGCTGTTTGGAAGCTGGAGAGGCATCCATTTCTAAACAACATGCATCCGGAAACTCTGTGAACTTTGATAAATGTCAATAGTTGTAGAGGGGCTTCAGGCCTTTTGTTCATAGGGTCGCTATGAGTCGTGCTTGATTCAAAGGCAATCAACAACATCAGCAAAGGTAGGTAATTAGTATACATGCATACAGGTGTAGAACAGCTTGGGGAGGTATTATGAGCCCTCGGTAGTAATAGTACGGGTGACTTTTTAATGGCTGTGTGTGGCTGACTTTCCACAATGAAGATATGTAAGGCACTGTGGAATCAGGAGATCCCGTTAATTCCTTTTTTCAAGGCCAGCCTCCTTACTGCATACATCTGTGGAGCTGCTGTTCTGTGCAGTATCGTGAGAATGGTCACCCACCAGGCTGGAGGGCTGGATGCTAAGCTCACTGCCTTTGAGAGGGCTCTGGTGAAGGGGTGGGCGGGGCACTGACCTGGCTCTCCAGCGGGAGGACGATATCATCATAGGGCCCCACGATGCTGCTGGGGAACTTGCTGAAGATGATGGGTTTCTTGGGCACGGGCACATGTTGCTCTTTGCAGTGGTCCACATAGTTCATGCCCACACACACCACTTTGTCTGGCCGAGTAACTGGGGACAGGAAGGTCACCTCTGACCGCGCCAGAACTGGCAGTGCAGCATTCTGGGCTCTGTGGACACCAGAGCAGGAGTGTGGGGCTGGATGGGAGCAGGTCAGCAAGCCCTGAGGTGGGCTGGAGACCTTCAGCAACCACACAACTTTTGCTTTTAAAAAGTCTTCTGGTTCACCAAACTTTAGTCAGTGTATCAAGCCTACTTACTGTCTTTTGAAATCAGAACACTGTCTACTGTTCCCTAGTGCTAACCTCTCCCCTCCCCCAACTGGGTAATAAATGGTTCATGTAGGAGAAATTGGGTATAAATGAAAAGGTCTCTCCTCCCACCCTTCTAGTCACTCCACTCTACTCACTGGAGGCACCACTGTCTCCTGTGCCTCCTTGTCTCTGGGCATATGGTGGTTCGCTACAAACACTTGGCAATAAACTTTAGGAAATCTCTTTGTTACAGTACAGAGAGCTTCCTCTTTTAGGGCTGCATATTACTGGGGCAGCTGGTGGCCTGGGAGAGAGGATATTGCTCTGTTAACCCGGAAGTGGCACCTCTCTTGCAGATGGAATCCACCAGCAGCTCTGTGGGAGAGAGATGGTTATCTCTTGAAAGCTCCAGGCCCAGGGAGGTCTTGCCAGGTGAGGGGCCTGATCCACTGGAGGGCCAGCTGTGGGTTGTTTCTGACTCCATGGCAGTGAGCTGAGGCATATCACTACCCTGTAGAGACACATCTGTTGCCCTCAGGAGGTGTATGGAGGTAATTACCAATCTTTTGTTACTGCACAGTAGCAATGAAGAATCTGAGACATCTTCAGGAACTGAGGGGTGGTGGTAGTGTTCTAGTGCTATTCATTTAAGCATATGAAAGGTAAGTGGGGTTACCCTGCTCTCTTGCAGAACACACACACATATCGGTGGGGTGAGCATGTGAGCTATCTGCTGCAGAGTAGTGCTGCATACGCACCTCCTCGCTACTGAGAGGGCAGCCTCTCCCTGCTCCAGGAATTCAATCATCGTCTTTGGGAGTGAGGCATCAAAGGCATTAAGGTCGATGACTCCCTGGTTATTCCCTGACTCAAGGCCCAGGCGAGGTCCTGCCAGTTGAGGGGCCTGGAACTGAACCAGTCTCATCTTTCTGGAGGGTTGGAAGGTCCTCTGAGCCTGAAGAAGAACTGTGAAGAACCTCCTTCTAACAGAGATGAACATCAGGACCTGTGGAAACAAGGCAGGCCCCTGGAGAGAGGGGGTCCCGGATCTGTGAGATCCTGGAGTTGACCAAGCTGCTGCCCAAGTCCCTTAACCCCATCATTCATTCTTGGCATACTAAGTGGGAAGTGGCCTACATTTACAGCTTGCTTCATCCTGCTTTATATCCAGTTTATAAGATGATTCTTGTTCAACTCAACATATGTATGAAACAGATCTAGAAAAGGAGTTACAGGCACTAAGATGACGTTAGGCACCATGGAGTCCATGACTCTGCAGCACAGAGGCCCCACCTGACTTTTGTCTAGCCTAACCGTTGTCTTCTAACAGTGGAATCTTGCTTGCATGTGAAATCAATGATATTTTTCTGTAGTTTCTACACTCTGTTGGGTCACCCTTCTTTGGAAGGGGAACAAATATAGTTCTCTTCTAGTCAGTTGGCCAAGTGGTTGTTCTCCAGATTTCCTGGCACAACTAGGTGAGCACATCTAGGGCAGCATCTGTTACGCCAATTGGTATATCATCTAGTCCTGGGGCCTAGGGATATTGTAGCTGATGTTAGATGGATCTTAGCTGAAAGCAGGGAATACCAGAAGAACGTATATCTGTATTTCAGTGATAATGCAAAAGCGTTTGACTGCGTGGATCATAACAAACTGTGGCTGACTCTGAGAAGAATGGGAATCCCAGAACATTTAATCGTGCTAATGCAAAACCTATACTAGAACCAAGAGGCAGTTGTCAGAACACAGCAGGGTGACACTGCATGGTTCAAAACTGGGAAGGGTGTACGCCAGGGATGTGTACTATTTCCATACCTTTTCAACCTGTATGCAGAGCAGATTATCTGAGAGGCTGGGCTCTATGAGGAGAAGTGTGGCGTCAGGATTGGTGGAAGATAACAATCTGCGTTATGCAGACGACACACCTCTGCTTGCTGAAACTGAGGAGAGCCTGAAATGCTTGCTGCGGAGGGTCAAGGACTGCAGCCTTCAGTATGGACTGAGGCTCAATGTCACGAAGACAAAGATTCTCACCACTGGACCAATTGGCAGCATCAGGATGGTTGGCGAAGAGATTGAGATTGTTCACAGCTTCAGTTTGCTCTGATCCACAGGACAACACTTGGCACCAGCAGCCAGGAAATCAAAAGACGTATTGCAATGGGAAAGTTTCCTGTTAGGGACCTCTCTAAAGTACTCAAGAGCAACGGTGTGTCTCTGGAGACTAAGGTGCGTCTGATACAGGCCATGGTCTTTGCAATCACTTGTGCATCAGAGAGTTGGACAATGACTAGGGAGGACAGAAAGAGAATTGATGCCTTTGAGCCGTGGTGCTGGAGAAGAGTATTGAATGTACCATGGACTGCCAAGAAAACAAACAGATTCATCCTGGGGACGGTTAAACCAGGCTACTCCTTGGAAGCAAGGATTCTGGGGCTTCATCTGACATACTTTGGACATGTTGTAAGGCGGGACCGGTCCTTGGAGAGGGACATCATGCTTGGGAGGGTAGAGGGACAGCGGAGGAGGGGAAGACCCTCTATGAGGTGGATTGATTCAGTAACTGGGGTAATCGGGATGGGTTTGTCAGAGGCAGTGTGATTGGCACAGGACAGAGCAGTGTTTAGGGCTGTTGTACATAGGGTCGCTATGAGTTGCAAATGACTTGACGGCACATAACAACAACAACAACAGTTGTCACTGTTTGAGTTAAGTGTTGCCACATTTGTACCAATTCATTTCACTGAAGGTCTCTTTTTTCATTGACCTTGTACTTTAACAAATGTTCAAAGTGTTCTGTGGCACCACGCTAGGTCCCAGACAGTCTAATGGTCCCTCAACTGCTGTTTTTCTGGAATCTTACAATGTACTTGACACCACTGTATGCAAGTAAAAACAACACAGGTCACACAAACTTAGCCCTGCTATCCTGCTCAGAAGAGACAAATGACATCAATAAGACTCAGCAACTGTGACCAAAGCTGTGAAGAAGATAGGGGTACTGGTTTTATCTGGTTCCTTAAGAAAGAGATGCTGAGGTGGGCTGACGTGAACAGGACTAGAAATTAGCTAAGCCCAGGCCCAGCCATTGAACATAGCGTGAATCCAAGAGTGAAGCCCCAGCAGGAGCAAGAGACCCACGTTGAAACTGGCCTTTCAGCTGCCACAAGCAATTTTTAAAATGCAAATTTGATCCTATTATCTGACTGATTAAAAAGTATTCCCCTAGTCCATACAACAAAGACAGAACTTCTACTAATATTCAGACCTTTTAGGAATAGCCTCCAACCTGCCTCACCAGCCCACACAGCCTGAGAGGCTGAGGCCTGACAGGCATCCTGAGTTAAGGGCCCACATCCATCTTACAATGCCCAGCATTGTTTCAAGTTCACAGGGGCTCTGCAGGAAGTTGGTTGATTGAACAAACGAATAATAGAAATAGGATCTTGGCTTTTTACTACTTGGGAAGGGATGAGCATTGTCAACCTCAGTCCAAATCCAGGTGATACTGAAGCAGTGTGAAGGTGTGAATGGTGCCACTGAGCGGGTTCCACAGGGAGCTGGAGAGGTCATCCCCCAACTTTAATATTTTAGAACCTTTTCCTGAATTCAGGTCACCACCCTCCCTCCTTTATCACCTGTTCCCGCCAAACTGAGTCCTGGCCTCCACAACCTAACCTGTTGCAGAGCCCAGCCCAGGCCTTCCATCCACCACATGCCACAGCCCTTCTTTTCCTCTGAAAAGTCTCTAGATGTTAGGAAATAATGTCTCTTTTCCATGAGAATTAACAACTTGGACTGCAAAGTAGAATTTGGATTGCTGGGTTAATTTTCCAAGTTGTTAAATATTTAAGATGAATGTCAGTGCTTGTCATGGGCACTGTTTTCTGCCGATAAGCCTGTGCACTTTAGTTCTTAGTTCAGAAATCAGGTGTTGCGCAAACAAGAAAATCCAACTTGGCCTCCTCCTTGAGACCTCTATCATCCCCAGTGCACTTTTGCCCAGAAGGTGGTGTGATAAGGAGGGCCCTCCAACATAAAGCTAGTCACCTGCTCCTCGACCCCACCTGATAGGCACATTCAGGATCTCATACCACCTTTTCCTCCCCTCCGGTAGAGACTTCGCATCCCCATTCTACACAAGAGGACACAGAGGACTAACATGAAGTCACTTGCCAACATACCATGATCAGAAAAGTGGCCACTGTGCCTATGCAGCGCAGAGTTCAAACCCGCGCGAAAGCTATGGGTTCATACATGAGATCCTCTTCCCACAGTATAGAAGCCTCTGTACCCTGCATTCACAGCGCTTTTTCGACGGGGTCGGCAGCGTCTGAAAACCTCAATCCTTCCTCAGCCAGAGGCCCCCGGGGGAGCTGAGGTTTACCGCGTCGAAGTGGACACTACTGACTGGCCCAGGCGGACATACCTGGCAGCAGTCCGGCGCCGTCGGGCAGAGTTGGAGCAGGCAGGCAGGGCCGGAGTGCCGGGCTGAAGGTTGGCAGCCTCCGGCCACCGACAACCTAGGAACACAGCAGCCCAGGCTGCACAACTCCTGCAAAGTACTCCTGACGACCCCGCCCTCAGCCTGCGCACCCGGAGCCAATGAGCGTTGTGAGAAGCGGGCGCTCCCTGATGATGTCAGAGAATAAAGGCCAATAGGAAGGCCTCTCGCGTTGTCTGCGGCAACAAATCGTGGCATGTGCTGGGAGTTCTTGGTCTTCCGGTGGTTTTCCTCCTTGGTAAAGCCATTCGCGGAGACCCTGCGACCTGCAGTTCGCGAGGCCGAGAATTGACTGCCTCCTTAAATTTTCCTCCCGCTGGTCTCAGGCAATTGCCCTGGCGGCCTAGCCCGTAGGGAGTTAACGCTGCCAAACCCAAAGGTCGCCTCTCTGGCAGTTCAAATCCGCCTGTGGCTCCCTTGAGAAAGAGGGACAGTCTCCTACCCTGTGATTAACAGCCTAGGAGACCCAATGGAAGCACCTGACAGCAATGAGAATGATATCCTCTGTCTAATATGTGCTTTGTCCAGGCTCCGTTCTGACTCCGTGCCTGTGCAGTGAAGGAGACCCAAGTTTAGCAGCACGCTAGATGACAAAGGAGAACGTTGTGTCTTCTGATCCTAACAGCGTCAGTGAGGGAATGGATGCTTGCACACTTTTTACACTTGAAGAACCTGAGATCTGAATTGTTTTGCTTAAAATGAGTCCGGCACCAAGTAGTGGATTCTTTTTTATTTTTCCCCCACCATTGTGTTGCTTCTGACTTATAATGACCGCAAGGGGCAAAGTAGCACTCCCCCATAGGCTTTCCAACGCCCTAATGTTTTTTCTATTTGGTCATGAACATTTTGGTTTTTTATTTTCTACAAAGTTTTTTATTTATGACTAAAGTTTTTTCCTGTTACCATCCCCAAAACAAAGTAGGTTTGTTCACAATGAGCCGATAGTAATAAACTGAATTCCCATTAGGATATTAATGACTTAAAAGGCAAAAGCTCATATATGCTGTTCTGTTATACTGTGATGCTTTCAATACATTGTGATGCTTGAGAGCAGTTAGACAACTCCATCATCTCACCAAAATGCAGAACTCAACTTCACTATTTAATGAATATAATTTCTTCCAACTCCTTTCCTCAAAGATTAAATTCTGAAAATAATCACATGACTAGGGGGAGAGAGTTGTCTTACCAATGGATGTATCTGTTAGATTCCCTCCTTACTGTCAGTTGAATGGCATGACAGAGCAGAGGCAAAGAAGTGTATAATAATTTTTTATGGTTTAAGTTAGAAATGTCAGAGCTTCCACAGCATGGCAACAGCTCTGAAAATGCTATGTTGTTATAGTTGAAATAACCTACACCAGCAAAGTCTAAAGCTGAGAGTGCCAAGAGGCCTGCCATGGCAACTTTCTGAAATGCATCTAGTGGACGTAGTAACAACTAGTCTAAGGTCCCAGTGACTGTGAACAGAGTTGTCTCTCAGAGAGCAAGGA